CTTGAGACCATATTTTTAAGTGAAATAAATCAGACATGTATGTGTAAATATTGTTTTGTCTACCTGGTGTGAGACATTGCAAATATGAACCAAAATGTATAGAATATATTGTGAAGAGGAAGAAATTGTTCAAAAGGAAAGAGGAACTAGGGTAGGAGAAGGGGGAGAGGAAAGAAGAAAAGGAAAAATGTGATAAAAAAGGATAAAATGGAAACAAAGCTTTGTCAATATGGAGGGGAAAAGGGGTTAAAGGGATAGAGGAGATTGGGGAAAAAAGAATGAAAATATGTTGTATACACTTACAAATTCCATATTCCAATGAATATTATCTTTATATCTAAATTGTACCAATAATCTTAATTTTAAAAATTAAAAAAGTTGGAACTAGATTCCACACTATGTTTTAGCAAATATTCCTCTTTCACAGTAGGTAGTTGCCATTTTTCCTGTTGTAAATGAAAAAATACTTTCACAGGACGTCACCGGATTTCATTGGGTATCTATGTTAAATTGGAGATTTATTGTAATGGTTTTTCATTAAGGTACAAAATGTGAAAATTTTTACACCTAAATAGTTGTAAGTATCTTAAATTAGGTTCTTTGCAAAAATTACTAATCATGGCATGCTCACAATGTCTGTGCCTCTTCTGGATTTTCATGGGTAGTGCCAAAAACAGCCTCCCACACTGAGCTGATAGCTTTTATAGCTATTGACATTTACAAGGAGTGCTCTCATCTCAGTTCTGAGTGTGTGTTCTGAAGCCTATGCCAACATTTCTAGAGATATAAGACGTTTTTCTTTCCAAAAATATTTTAATAGTATTTGCAAAGCCTTTCTTTCCTTTTTATAAAAACATGTCATTTCCTCTTTGTAAAAGCAAATGTCATTTCAATTGAAAATTTACTTTTAAGTTTACTCTGGCATTTATATCACACCTCCATGACAAAAACAAAGATGTAAACACTCCTTTAAAAGTTACTCTCAAATATTTCATAATATAGGGTACTATAATTTATTAATCATCATAGTATCAGTCAATGCTTACATTTTTTCCAGCTTGTGCCACTGAAAACAGTTGTAGAACAAATGTTTCATTTGACTTTTGCACAGGTTTTACTTTTCCTTTGAGATATTTCAGAAATGGAGGTTATGGGGCACATGTAAACACATTCTAATTTTAACAGATACCTTGAAGTTGCTCGCCAAGATGGAGCTAAAGTTTTTGCCCCACCAGCAACATATGAAAGCAATACCCTCTTTCCCAGTGCTTCCTTGGCTTTCATGTAGAAGTCACTTTCCCAATGATATAGTGATGACATAACCATTCTCATTAGAATTTCTGAGTAGCACCAGTGAGGGTTTTTATTTCACTAGTCATTTGCATATTGTCACCTAAAATTATGTGTGTATAACTTACCCTCATCTATCTTCACACATACATCCTAAATAACTCAAAAGCACATCTCAGAACTATGATATTGATCACTTTGGAAAGGTATAACATAAACAACTGGGCATAGACTCAAGAAAAGTAGGAAGATGTCCACTCAAACACTGGACACAAACATTCCCAATAAAATTAATCCATAGTAGCCCAATCCACACAGCAGTGAGAGAGACGCGCAAAAGCTCTGAGAGCTGGAATCGGCGAACCAAACGGCGTTGAGAGCGGGACTGGCTCGACCTACAGTGAGTGAAATGGGGACCCTTTCATAGACTAGGAGGCTCCAACAGAGGACATTCTGGGAATGGGAAGATTAGCCGGAACACAGCCCTGCAGTGACTTTAGTCGCATATTCCCCTCTCAAGTGGGAGTGGTGGGGAGCGCTTGGCCTGGTGACGCCGCAGACTAAGATCCTGTAGGCTAGCCCAAATCAGGTCCCTGCACCTGGTGGTACACCCTAGCAGTGAAGTCTTCACTAGGTTGATCTGGAGGGACAGGCCCAGCAGAGGCTGCCCAGGTCTGTGTCTCCCTAGTACACTGCAGTGGGTGGAAACACTTAGCCAGCGGATTCAAACAAACTGCCACAGACAAAGAGAAAAAAAAAAAAAAACTGAGCCTCCTACATACGCTTGTATGGAAGGAACAAAAAGTATGGGAAAAGGGAGCAACAAGAAAGGGTCCTCAGTCCCCAATCCTGAGAACACTGATCCAGGAAAGGTAAAAGCAAAAGAGAATGAAGACAGAAAACATGCAATATCAGACACAGCACCTATAGATATAAAACGGTATCTCTGGAGCCTCATAGACGAGTTCAAAAATGAAGTATTTAATGAAATAAAGCAAGAAATAAATAGAATAGTTAGAGAAATGCTAAGCACTGCCCAGGAAAAAACAGATGGTGGAATGGAAGAACAGAAAAAAAGGGGAGAATTGTTTGATGGAGTATATAGAGAAAACATAGAATGCATGAAGCAGGTTCACAGAGATTACCAGGAAACTAAAAACTCTATTGAAAGCTCGCATAACAGCTTGAAAGATACTAAGGATAGATTATCAGAACTGGAGGACAGATTTGTAAAGTGGGAGCATGAAATGAAAAACTTCTTAAAAATAACAAGAAGACAAACAGCAATAATACAAACACTAGAAGATGACAAGAGGATCTATAACTTAAGAATTAAGAACATAAAAGAAGAAGTAGGGACTCAAACAAATGAACTACAAAAGCTATTCACAGAAATAATCCAGGAGAATTTCCCTAATTTAGGAAAAGGTAAAGATACTCAGATGTATGAGGCATACAGGACCCCAGCCACCTACAACCCAAACAGAGCTACACCCAGGCATATAATAATCAAAATTCCGGAAATCCAATATAAGAACAGAATATTAAAAGCCATCAGAGACAAGAAACAGATCACTTACAAGGGAACACCCATCAGAATTACAGTAGACTTCTCCACACAAACCATCAAATCACAAAGAGCTTGGGGGGAAATAATTCAAGCTTTGAAAGATAATAACCTCCAGCCAAGATTGATATATCTTGCACAACTGTCCCTAGAAGTTGATGGAAAAACAAGGTGCTTCCAGGATAAAGAGGAACTAGGGGAATTTGCAACCACCAATTCAACTCTACAGAGATTACTGCAGGATATTCTAAAAATGAAAAATACCAAGATTCCAGAAACAGTGGCAGAGCGGCCACAATGAATGGAGCAGAAAGTGAAATGAAGAGGACAAACTGACAACTAGTGACAGAAAAAAAAGCTCAGCAGAAATGAGGCAGAGAAGGTTGGATGGTAGGAACAGCTATTTTGGAGAAAACGGGACATCATAATAGGTAGTGCTGATTTAGTATCCTCTTGTTTTGAAGTCCCATCAAGCTTTTGTTCTTCTGTCTCCATCGGTTTTAACGTGTTGTATCTTACTGAATTTTATTATATGTGATAATGTAAACAAAAACTTTTATAGACAAGGAGATTATACAGAAACCATTGTTCATTTTCTGTTAGTTGATTTTAAATACCCTGTAATACTGTCATTCTCTTGAATGGTTTTACATTGTCTTGATATGTTTGATGCTACAGTATACGAAGTTATACCCAAAGATTTTAATGGAAGAGACACTATGGTAACTACTTTTATGTCGAGATTATCTTGTGGTGAAACACTATTTTGCTTAAATGGCTATGTTTTGAGCTTCACTGCTTTGTTATTGTGCCTTCTTTTTTTCAATCTCCTTTTTATTATCTACTTTTTCATTTTTATCCTTTTAATTAAGGGAAAAATAAATAAAAAATAGCAGGATATATTATAGTAACCCACTTTGATTTCCTATTAATTTGATTTAAAATTCTTTATTGCTCTCACCATCTTGTTTTGACTGATTTTCCTCTATTCTGTTATGCTAGATAGTACCAAGTTTGAAAGTCTAGGCAACAACTATGAAGACAATAAGATCCATTGTGACGCCCATTCTGGTTGACTATTATCTTCTTTTGAAGTCCTCTAATGTCTCCAGTGTTCTGGTTTTATTGGTCTTATTCTTTACTGTTTTGTTCAATTTTGTTATAACTGATGATATAGGCAATTCTTTTTAAGATAACGAGGCATTATGGTAACCATTGTTGATCACCTTGTATTTTGTTTTTACATTATGTATTATGTCCATCCTTTTGATTTGACTGACTCTGTCCTGGTATGTTACATTTGGTTTTACTTTCTTCAAAAAAAGTAATAAGAACTTAGGGAGTAATAAAACCCAAAATGTGTAATTGTCATTGTACAAAAGAAAGGAAAAGAAAGTTCTCTAAAAGATATAACTGCACATATATTTAAGGGTATAAGATAGAAAACCATATTACTGAGTTTTGTTGAATTATTGAACAAAACTGTTTGCAGTCATACTGTTTGAAAGTCCCCTCTATATGCTTTAATTTTGTTACTTCAACAACTATTTCTAAGATGACAATATGCAATTAACTAGTGATTTCCTACTGTTTATTTTTTCTGAAATTCTGTATAACTTGTACCCTTTTTCTTTTCTCTCCTTAAATAAAATTAAAAAAAAAATAATCCATAGTAGCCCCACAGTGGAAACAACTCATATGTCCATCAATTGATGAATGAACAAATCAAATGTGGTCTTGCCATACATGGAATATTAGTCGGTCAGAATAAAGATGCATGCTAGAAATGCATGAGCTTCAAAGCAAACCACAAGAAAAGAGTGAGTCAAGTTAGACCACATGTTACGTTTTTCTATTTCCATGAAATGTCCAGAACAGCAAAGTCTACAGAGAAGGAAAATAGACAGGTGGATGCCTGGTTCCGGGTGTGGTAGGGATGGAAACTGAGAAAACTTTTTGTCTTAAAAGCAATGAAAACTTTCAAGAATTAAATAGCAGTGCCAGTGCGTGAGTTTGTAAGTAAAATGAAAACTCACTGCATCGTATGTGCTTCATGGATGAAGTCTGTGGTGTGTGGATTTTAAAAATATAAATATAGTGTTGCTAACTTTAGGCCACCTCAGAACACATCCTCCAACACTGGTCAGCCTGTGGACCACCGCAGGGTTCTTCTGAAGGCTGTCTGCACCTCCCGGTTGCGCAGGCAGTAGATGACCGGGTTGCACATGGGCGTCACTGCTGTGTAGATGACCGACAGCACCTTGTTGAGGTCCATGGCCTCCATACGGCTGGGGCGGGCATAGATGAAGATAGTGGCAGAGTAGAAGATGCCCACTACCACCAGGTGAGAGGCACAGGTGGACAAGGCCTTGTGGCGGGCAGTGGCTGAAGGCATGCGGAGCACAGCCCTGCTGATGGCCATGTAGGAGGCCATGGTCATGAGGAAGCAACCCCAGAGGATGATGATGGCAGAGATGAAGTCCACCAGCTCCGTGAGGGCTACATGGGTGCAGGACAGGTTGAGCAGAGGGGAGACGTCACAGAAGAAGTGGTTGAGGACATTGGGGCCACAGTAGGACAGGCTGGCGATGCATGTGGTCTTAACCACAGAGACCAGCAGTCCACCTAGCCAGGAGGACACAGCCAAGCCTAGGAAGACCTGGGGCGGCATGAGCAGTGGGTAGTGCAGTGGATGGCAGATGGCCACGTAGCGGTCATAGGCCATGGAGGCCAGAAGGATGCACTCTGTTCCAACAAGGGTTATAAAAAAGAAGAGTTGGATCATGCAGGCCATGAAGGAAATGTGGTAGGTCCCTGTCCACAGCCCCAGGAGCAAGGTGGGCATGGTCACAGACACATAGCACAGCTCCAGGCCGCTGAGGTTGCCCAGGAAGAAGTACATGGGCTTGTGGAGCTCAGCATGGCTGATGATGAGGTAGATGATGAGGGTGTTCTGCAGGAGGGTGAGCAGGTAGAGGGCCAGGAAGACGGCAAAGAGGGTGTCCCTGGTGCTTGGGCTGGTGGACAGGCCCAGGAGGACAAAGTGCTGGACCCTGGTCACGTTGGTTGGCTCCATCTGTTGACAGACACAGAAAATTAGTGAACATTGTGGATCCTGGACATGCGAAGCAGTTTGGCAAATTGGGAGGAAGTTCTCAGTGTGTGCAGACCTGTCTTTACAAAGATGATGTTTTCTTGGCATTTTTTTAGTTACAGAGCAAGATTATAGATTTGTGGGACAAACTCTGCACATGCCCTCTTGATGCTCTTGCTGGATTCATGATCTTGCTCAAAAAATTTGGCTGGCTGAAAACTGGATGAATAACATTTGCTTTCCCTGATTTTTCTATAATTGATGAAGCCATGATGTTCTGAATAAGAAATAAGGATTACACTTATGTCAGTTTTTAAAAAGTGCATTTGAAGGTTGGTTTTTCCTTTTCATGAGCAACACATGAGTAAGAATATTCTATAAAATCTAGAGAAACACTGTGCACTCTCCTGTTTTGGAAATGTTCCAGTTTTTCATCCTGATTTCCTAGAGTTCTATTGCACCTGTCCTTCCAGTGGTAACATGAAGAAAGACAGTAGGAAAAGACTCCCTTTAGTCAGAGGATTCCCACAAACATCGGCATGCTGTCCCGTGGGAGGATGGGAATCCCATTCACTGCACTGAGTCTGTATCATTGTACGTACTTCGCTGAGATTGTCCTTATTACACGGAGGAAGCTGAGGCTCACAGAAGAAACCGCTGGTGTGAAATGGAGCACATCCCCTAAAAACAAATATTTCCATAGTTTGCCGAGTCCTCTCTGTGTCTCAGAACACTGCCTCACCTCCTGGTTAATTTTCTTTGTTGCATTCTGTGTGGCTAGGGTGGGGCTCAGTCCTGTAAATTCATTTACCCAACACTACACAGCCAAAAAATGGAAAGAACAGGGGAGCCCAGATGTGTCAGGTGTCAGTGCTAGGATAATTCTGTCATATGACATCACTCCAAGTCCAGGACACCCTTCCAAGGCTGAGCCATGGGACGTGGGGAGATGATGCCTGCTCACCCAGCTCGCGTGCTCTCAGCAAGGAGCACCACGCCCTGTGCTCACTCAGGGTGTGAGGCACAGAGGCATGGGAATGAGCAAGGCAGGGCCTGCTGACTTGGGGACCTGACTCCCGGCCACAAAGGGAGGCAATGAGAACAGGCCCAACTTTAAAAAGTAAGGCAGTTTCAGAAGTGCTCAGAGCTGTGGTAGAATCCATCAAGGGCCTTGAGCTAGGGAGTGAAAGGCTCCATAAGCCAAAATGGTGAGCTGAGAGGCCCTGTCCACCCCGGGAAAGATGAAGAGGATGCATCCAGCCAGGGAACAGTGGCTGGGGCCATCTGTCTTCCCAGGAGCTTCCCTCCACCAACACGGAGGACACTTACTTCATTTTCCCAGACAGGCAAGCACTTCTGTTAATGGGTTCAAGCAGGACCACATCTCCAGGGCAGATGTTATTGATGGATCTCTGGCAATGACTCCAATCATTTCTCTCGGGCTAAGTTTCCCAGGTTCTTCCACAAGATGACCACTATTATGCACAACACAAGGCCTCCCAGAAAGAAACAGCATGCATGAATTCACCTGGTCATTGTCAACTGAACCAATGGCGGGCTGATGTGAAAATTCAGCCATCTGATAGGGCCAAGAGCTAGGAGCTCAAGTAGATCTCACTTCAGTTATTCGTCTGTAAAAAGGTTCTCTCTCCCTCACCATCTCCCTCCCCCTTTTTCCCCTCCCCCTCCTCCTTTCCCTCCATCTGTCTCCCCAACCCCCATCCCAAGCTTTTTCCAGGACACTGAAATGCTATCCTTCTCTATTTCAGTAGGAAGACAATTGTAGGTCAAAATGTAAAACTGTCTTGGCCAAAATCGTATGGTTATGAAAGGAAATGGATTAAAACACACTAATTCCAGTCCCTTTATCCAGCTCTCTTCTAATCAGCATTATAAATGGTAGTGTGTAAGTACCAGGTGGCAATTACCATGGTAGTAATACTAACTACTATGCACTAACCTATTCCTTAGTTATAATTACCATGGTACTAAAAACTACTATGAATTAACCTATTCCTTGATACGAAATATTTTGCTCCTCTTTCCAAATTTTAATTCTTTGGAGCTTCTCGGTACCTTTGTGAGGATACCTTTACTTTCCCAGTGCTACACATAATTACTCAAGTGTGAGAAATAAGCAGCTGGCCCCAGGACAGAGCTAGGACCACAAGGACTTGGATAAATTTGGGCTCTCAAGGAATGAAAATTCTGTATCCTCTCCCCACAAGGCAAACCTTTTTATTTTTACCAGGGCCCCCACTTCAGTTGTTTAAAAATTGACTTCAACAAGTTAGTGAGACCACAGTTTTTTTGCTAGTTTTTCTAAACACAGTGCTGCTCCGCACAGAATGAGCTCGGTGCCAGGGGTTTTGAGATGGGTCCTCTCGTGCTGCATAAGAGGAACCCTGGGAGCGTCAAGCATCAAGTACTTGCTTCTGTCTCTTTTCTAACTGCAGAGAATCAGTTTCTGGAGAAGCCAGAGCAGGAGGCGCTGGGCAGCCTTTGCCCCTGGGCTCCTGCAGCAGGCAGGGAAGATGTGGCCCAATGCAGTCCTTGGTGCACGTGTCCCACCCACATCCGGAGCCCTGGGCGCCGCGTTCTGGGCCTGCCAGCCCGGAGTGGGGGCAGTAAGCACCTCCTGGGTGCAAGGGTCCCTGGGTCCCTGGCCTGGCCTGGGTTCGGTAGCCATCACCACTCCAGATGCAGCTCCCTTCGCGTCAGCGCATCTTGGAGCGCCCACTGCCAGAGGCGCGCCATAGAGATATCACCACCCATTCAGGCTGCTCGCTGGTGCCATCTGTATGCTCAGAGGCATCTGTTGAGAGTTCACAGCGGACTGGGTCCCTGCGCAATGAACGCACTTTTTGCCTTCGCTACCTGAACCCCTGCCCCGCGGTGCTGAACGCGCTCCCCTCAGCCTGGGCTCAGCCTTCGCAGTGCTTTCTGCACTCAGCCCTCAAACCCAGCGCTCTTGGGCTGCTCTGGAAACTGCTGGTGGAGCCGGCATTGGAAGGGAGGCCATCGCATTCTGCTAGAAGTCTCTGTGGTCTAATTTTACTCCATTGCACCAACGCTTTTCCAGTAAAGGCTTGGTACATCTAAGCAAGGACCCAAGAGCTGTGCCTCTGTGGGTCTGCCGGAACCTGGGCCATTGTCTCAGGTGCTGGAAAACCCTCAAGACCCCAGGAAAGTCACTGAATCTGCATCAGGCCCCTATGGCCTCCTGTGCAGGTGGAATTGTTTTCACTTAAAATGAATTTCATAATAGTTGCTTTCACATGCGAGACCTCTTAGAGACGTAAAGAGTTGTTCTTGAAAGCACAAGAGAAATTTCTAGAACATTGTCCATCATTTTAATCCTAGAAGAGAGGATCTGGGTGTGGTGGTAAACTCCTGTAATCCCAGCATTCTGGGAAGCAGAGACAGGAGGGTCACAAGCTTCAGCCCAGTGTGGGCAACTTAGCAACTTAGTGAGATCCTTTCAAGCGGTCACTTGAATGCTACTTCACCTGTATTAGTATCTGTATCATCTCTATTTCTGTATTATCTACATCTATGTCTATGTCTATCTGTCTGTATATCTGTCTATATCTATATCAACTACATCTATGTCTACCTATAGCTATGTCTATCTGTATCTATATCATCTGCTTCTAAATCTGTCTAAACAATGGTATCTTGACTATAACTCTTTTGTTTTCAAATGATTGGGCAAATTGTTTTTGTTTTCAAACTCTGCATCAGATGACAAACATGACCATGGCCGTCTTTCCCACACAAGCACAAACATTGCTGTCTTTTCCAAAACTGCAGAGCAAATTAAGTTTATGAACCAAGGCACCCCTGATCTGTATCTCTATTGATTTAGCTATAACACTGATAGCTTTAACATCTGTAGCGGAGTCCATAGCTACCTGTCATTCCTGGACTTCCATCTGTAGATATCACTTAGTGACTCTTAGTATTTAGAGTGAATCCCTAACAAGCACTGTGTGTTCTTTATTTTATTTTATTTTTTTACTGGTACCAGGGATCAAACTCATGACCACGTGCTTGCAAGGTAGGCACTTATGCCACTAAGCTAAATCCCCAGCCCCCCTTTTTTAAATTGTGTGCTCTGAAAAACATTTTCTCTTTGCTTTGTTCCTCATTTCTACCCCCAAACAGCAGCATTTGGTCTCCTCACCTGACTGAGGAAGGGTGGTGGGCACTTCTTTCCCTGCTGACCTCTCACCTGGAGCAGGTGCCAGTGCCTGGGGGTTCAGCTCTGTCCAGAGGAGGGGACACTCAGGAACAGCACAACCTTCAGTCCTCCCTAGTGGGAGCTGCTCCTGGCCCTGGATCAAGCACACATCCGCTGCGTGCAGCCACTGTGCCTCTTCCTGGAACTGGAACGTCTGGTCACTGAGCTGACTGCCTCTGAGGAGAGAAGCCAGCGGTGGTGTCAACATAACCAAGGCTCTGGCCCTGAGAGATGCTCTGTGGCTTCTGTGGACTTGGAGAGGGCATGGAGAAGATGCTTCTTACTGCTGCCTGCGGAGGCAGAGGCAAGTCTGCCACCTGGCTACACCACTGGGTGTCACAGACGTCAGCCCCATGCCTGCAGCCCGGGGTTGAAGTAAGGGAGGGGCAGGTGCAGTCAGCACCTCTGCATGGAGCATTCGAGGGACATACAGGAAACACACACTCACTGCTCTGAGACACACTCTGGAGCCCAACACCAAGGGGTGCTGGAAGCCTTCGCCCTGAGTGAAGAGATGGAAACAGGGTCTGCACACCTGTGTTCCTGGCAGCAGGTGACCAGAAGGCGCAGCAAGACGGGTGTCCCTGGGAAGAGAACTTGGCCTGACTCGGCTTAGTGTGGAGAAGGCATGAAGATGTCCTGTGGGTGAAATTAGTCATCACCAAAGGACATAAAATACTTATGTGGGAGGGGAGATAACATGATCACCAAGGTGGTTTCCCCAGGGTGAGGATTATCCATTGCTCTGCAGATGTGTTGACCCCTACGATTTCCCTAAATATGAAAAACTCAGCTGCATGATTTATGGTAGTGGGGGGCTGCTTTTGCATTTTCCCCTGGGAAAAAAATAAAGGACATAAAGTGTCACACTTAGGGTCCTCAGACCACAGAGACAGGAAGTGGAATAGTGTTTGTCTCAGGAGAGGCAGGAAGAAAAGAGCTTTGAGTTTTGCAGGACGAAAATATCTGCAGATGGATGGTAGTGACCACTCACAAAAGTACAGGTGTCATTAATGCCTAAAACGGTTATGATAATGAAGTCTATGAAAATGGCTATGATAACAGAGTCTATGATAACAAAGTCCATGATAATGAGCTCTATGAAAATGAAGTCAATAATAATGAAGTCTATGATAATGAAGTCCATGATAATGAGATCTATGATAATAAGTCCTATGATAATGAGGCCCATGATAATGAGGTCTATGAAGATGAAATCAATGATAATGAAGTCATTGATAATGAAGTCTATGATAACAAAGTCCATAATAATGAGGTCTATAAAATGAAGTCAATGAAAATGAAGTCCATGGTAATTAGCCATATGAAAATGAAGTCATTGATAATGAAGTCTATGACAATGAAGTTCATATAATGAGGTCTATGATAATGAGGTCCATGATAATGAGGTCTATGAAAATGAGGTACATGATAATGAGGTCTATGAAAATCAAGTCAATGGTAATAAGGTGTATAATAATCTATGATAATGAAGTTTATGAAAATGAAGTGTATGATAATGAAGTTTTATGTATGTTCAAACTCAATAAAATGTAATATAAGTTACTGCCCAAAGGAAGCATTGATCTGAGGCTTCTGACGTTTACTTAAGATTATTTTCATAACAACTGAAAAAATAAGGCGTATGGAAATATCCTGGTGCTGCATTCAGAAGACAAAGTTTTAAAGCTCTTCACTGTTTTTTAGCTGAAACCCAAACTCCTTGCCTGGCCTTCCAGCCCTCTCCCTTGGGTGTGCTGTACCCTGGGTGACACTGTGTGTATAAACTGACAAGACATAAAATCAGTCTTCCTCCTTTTTGTAGCCCTGGGGTTGAACCCAGGGCCTTTGCACTAAACTACATACTCAGCTCCCCACTTTTTATTGGCGCCAGAATCTCACTGAGTTGCTAAGTTGCCAGGCTGGGTTGGAACTTGCCATCTTCCTGCCTCAGGCCCTCAAAATGCTGGGTTAAGAGATGCTGGCCACACCCAAACCAGACCCTTTCTTTTAAGGGTTAAAATGATTAGTGGTATTCTAAAATTGTCATGAAACCTTGTGTAACTGATCAGCTTTTCTTAGGAAGAACTCAGAAACCAGTTTGTTAAGTACAATATTTCCCATATTTGAACATTTTATTGAATGAAAGGAAATAATGCTCCAGAAACATCAGGAAAGACTAAGTTACACGTAGAACTCAGAATCAAAATAACTGTGTTTTCATGCTTGTATGCCTCAAGTAATTTTTTTGAGACAGGGTCTCATTGTGTAGTTCAGGCTGCCCTGGAGCTCGCTATGTAGCCCAGGCTGCCCTCGAATCTGTGAGGATCCTCCTGCCTCAGCCACCGAGTGCTGGGATTACAGATGTGCACTGTCACGCCCAGCTATTTTAAAGTATTTTTATTTGATGTTTTCAGAAAGTGGCTCTGCCTTCTGGGCCAGTGTGGCTGGGTGAATGTGAGGGCTGGGGCTTCAAGCTGAGCAGAGAGAGAGAAACAAGCGAGGCATAACCCCATCTATGTGCAGAGTCCGAGTGAGATCTGAGGAAGCCAAGAGCAGCAGGCTGTGTACCGCAGAGTGGAGGGGACAATGAAGGGATGCTCGGGCCAGAGGCTCCACACGGGCAGGGAGGAGAAGCACGGTTCTGGAGACCCAATGTACGGACCGTTTTGCGCATGCGCTACTCCCCTCAGAGCATGTCATGATCACGGCCTCCAGACGTGAACTAATAAGGATTTAAACTTTTAAAAGAAAAAACTGCCTGGTTTCCCAAATCACATATAGTGTATTTGCATTTCACGAGAGAGTGGACCTCAGGTATTACCACACGCAGATTGACTTCGCCAGGCGGTGGGCATAATTAGCAACAGGAAGGTCATTGTTTCAGAACACGTGTCTGCCAGATCGCCAGCATGTGCACCTTGTCGCTATACAGCCTTTACTTTTTGATCGTGATGAATACAATGAACAAAACAATGAAGAATTTCACACTGTGTTTTATGGATTGTAAAATGTAATACAAATATATATTTAACTTGGTCATATTTCCAAGGCAAGACATATAAATGCATTTTTAGTAGCCTATGGTTTACCTTATAATAAATATAATATATTTAAATCCAGCCTTGCTTGGGGGGTACCAGGAATCAAACTCAGGTCCTCATGCTTGCCAAGTAGGCGCTGCACCACTGAGCTGAATCCCTGGCCCCAGGTCAATCATTATTGATAGACATTTGGATTGCTTGATTTTTTATTGCAAACATTTGATTTTGTGGGGCTGTATGGACTCACCCCATAAATATGTACCTGTCATTTAGGAAATTTATTGCTTTGTATATAAAGTTAAACATATGTTCACATGGGTTACCAGGAATTTTCTCATGGGCTTTATTCATCTTTCTTGGTAGTTTAGATTTAATTATTGGCTGGCATGATATTTGGAGCTATGAAAAAAATTCCCCTAGTTTTGACTTTGCTTTTCCAAGGTCCTTACAGTGCACGTGGCCAGGAAAGGCTGGAGTCCAGCAAGGTCAGCGTCGCACTGGGGGCTCAGGTTCAGGGCCAGCACAACGTCTTCCACAGGGAGGCATGGACTTCCCTATTGCGCAGGCAGTAGATGACCGGGTTGCACAGAAGCATGGCCACCATGTAGATGACCAACAGCACCTTGTTGAGGTCCATGGACTCGAGGTGGCTGGGCCGGCAGTAGATGAAGAGAGCCATGGAGTAGAAGATGTCCACCACCACCAGGTGGGAGGCGCAGGTGGACAAGGCCTTGCGCCAGGCAGCGGCTGAGGGCATGCAAAGCATAGCCACAGCTATGGCTGCTTAGAAGGCCAAGGCCACCTGGAGCGTCCCACAGAAGATGATGATGGCGGAGATGAAGTCCACCAGCTCTGTGAGGGCCACATGGGTGCAGGACAGGTTGAGCAGAGGGGAGACATCACAGAAGAACTGATCGAGGGTGTTGGGGCCACAGTAGGACAGGCTGGCAATGCATGTGGTCTTGGCCACAAAGACCACCAGCCCACCCAGCCAGAAGGACACAGCCAGGCCTAGGCAGACCTGGGGCCGCATGAGCAGCGGGTAGTGCAGTGGATGACAGATGGTCATGTAATGGCCATAGGCCATGGAGACCATGAGGGTGCACTCTGTCAGATGAGGGAGACAAAGAAGAAGAGTTGGATCATGCAGGCCATGAAGGAAATGTGGTAGGGCCCTGTCCACAGCCCCAGGAGCAGGGTGGGTGTGGTCACAGACACGTAGCACAGCTCCAGGCGCTGAGGTTGCCCAGGAAATGTACATGGGCTTGCAGAGTTCGGCGTGGCTGACGATGAGGTAGAGGTTGAGGGTGTTCTGCAGGAGGGTGAGCAGGTAGAGGGCCAGGAAGATGGCAAAGAGGGCGTCCCTGGTGCTCGGGCTGGTGGCTAGGCCCAGGAGGACGAAGTGCTGGACCCTGGTCATGTTGGCTGGCTCCAGGGAGCTCTCCATCTGTGGACAGAGACAGAAAACAGTGATGCTCTGGTTCATGTACAAGGGTAGTGCTGGAAATTTGGGAGGATGCTCACGTGGAATCAGCCCAAACTCTTTGACACTGACTGTTAGGAAAGACAAGGAGAAGCTGCAGCTTCTCAAGACAACCTCTAAATACGATGTCTGTGCTTACTCAGTCTGGGCCCTGTGTAGTGAATTTAAGCAAATCAAATGCAAGAGTGTAGCTTTTACATCCCGTATAGTGCAATAAACTAAGCAGAGCAGTGAGTATCAGGCTGCTATTTCACGTAAGAGATTTATTTTCATTTAAATTTTTCAGAAGTGTATTCCTTCTAGATTATTCTTATTTTTATTTTCTTTTTAATGACTCTTTGAATTCATTGAGTAGTCTATAAATCCAGAGTAGGACAAACGAGTAGTCTCTCCTCTTCAAAAATATTCCTTCTTTCTTAATGTGGCTTTATTGTACAGAATTGCTGTATATTGTGAGTCATGAATGGTAATATTCAAGAAGGACAAGAAGAAAAATTTTTCTCTCAATCAAAAGAGGATTCCCACAAAAACTTACTTGACTTTGTTCTAGGAGACTGTTGGGAAGCCACAGCTGGTGCCCAATCTTCTTGATTAGATTTACACACAATTGTGTATTATTCCTAATTATTTCACTTCAGGTAACTGCAGCACCCATAGAAATTTACTGTTGTGAGGCAAGGTATGGAATCTAATAGTGAAAGCTTCCATAGTTTTCGAGCCTGATCAGCATCAGGAACCTGCTGGAAAACCTATCTATTACCTGCTCTATTCCAATGGGCAGATGTGGAGATCAGATGGGGCATTTCACAGAACCCCAAGTGCAAAGATGGGGAATCTGCCCTCTGGACTGCTTCAGTGCTGGACCAACTCCATGGCACCATGTCCTCCTTCTCCAGGCTGAGGAGCTAGGAGCTCTTCCTTCTCTGAGCCCTGGGGAGAGGAGAGCAGGCAAATATCATCCAGGGCACCCTCGGCACGGAAAACCAGGCCTGCACTCCCTCAGCGAGACAGAGGGTTGACAGCCACTATGCTAAGACACTAGAGGCTGTGGTGCCTGAGCTGGGAGAGGCAGTCAAGCATGGGGCAGGAAAACACTTCAGGAAGGGAACAGAAGTCCTAGTGGTCTGCCAAGCGGACTCTGTCCCTCAAAGTCCCATAGAGCCTGCTCTGTCATTTCCCAGTGCTTGCATTTCAACCCCTCCTCCAGACAACACCCTAGCTCTTCCACTGCACCCCATGAGTCGAGCATTCCAGTCTCTCAACAGCTGATCACACTTCGCACACTGAGGGGAAAGTTCAGACTGTTCCATCT